AGTTTTGGCTATGGACGACAATGAAAGCCCTAACCCTATTTGAGTGGCTCCAAGTGGATTAAACCGCTGGAGAATCCCCTCTGACCATAAAGCCTAGGGCTGTCAATGGCCTTGCTATCAGACAGAGTGCATTGCAGATATAGTTAGGCTAAAATGTAAACCTTATAAAGCCTATTTTCTTTTTTTTAAATCATTTTATTAGGGGCTCATACAACTCTTATCTCAATCCATACACACATCAATTGTGTAAAGCGCAATTGTACATTCATTGCCCTCAGAATGTTTAATTTTTATCAAAGACTCCTTGACTTGGCAGAATATAGAGTTTCTGATATATTGTCATAATAGACTAATTATAACCCCGGGTTGTTTCTGCATGTATAAAAGGAAGATGTAGAATAAACTCGGGGCTTCAGTATTCACTGTTGCCCTCCCAATACTTTCTGTCTCTCTTTTTCCCTTAATCCTCACTCCCCCTTTCGGGACCGTTCGACTCGTTGGCAGGCTCCAACAGAGTGGTGCCTCGAACAGGGACCTGAAAATGGGGGACCAAGTGAAGGACACCGCGGATTACAAAGGTGCACACGAAGAGATTGGTGGTGCAGTGAGTAACACGTGGAAGTAAAATGGGGCAAGGAAATAGCAAACAGATTTTTGTACATATGCTTCAAATTATGTTAAAAGCCAGAGGAGCAAAAGCAAGCTACCAAAGATTAGAGAAGTTTTTAGACTTTGTCGTTAAAGTATGTTCTTGGTTCCCTGAGGATGGGACTGTAAATACTGAAACGTGGCTGAAAGTAGGGGAACAACTAAAAGATCACTATGCGGGTAATGGACCTAGCAAGGTCCCCATAGATACGTTCAGCCTATGGAATTTAATGAGGGATAGCTTGGATCCTAGGCAAGAGGGACTTCGGGAGTTAATAACTTAACCTGCGTGAAGCAGGGAAAACCGGAAGGGAGCGCCGCTGTAATTACTAGAGGCACTTTCGCTGGGGGGAAAGAAAAGAAGAAAAAGGAAAAGAAAAAGCAAAATGGGAAATTCCCCGTCCGTGGAACGCGAATAGGAAAAGTTGATAAAAGGACTTCTCCATCCTACAGGGTGGAGGTTAAAGATAAATTATTGGGAGAATTATTTGCGCATGTACAACAACATTGTTATTGGTTTTACAGTCAAGAAAAGGTTAAATTGAATTCGCGAGCATGGCAACAAGTAGTGAAAACATCACGCACTGCTCATCAACGGAGACAGACTATGAATTTAAAGCTATGGTCTTTGTGTAATGCTATTACTCAAGCTTGACAGTTATTAGAGACAGACTCGGAGAAAGCTGAAGAAAAAGATAAAGATAAGAGAGAGAATGGAATCCAAAGGGAGGAAGAGGAGTATGCAGAAGTAACTGAGGAGGAATTCAGTCCAGAATTAGCAAAGAAAGAATCAGATGATGTGGGAGAAATGATGTTCCAGAGCTTATAGGATTGCTAAAACAAATGCTTAAATGTCATTCTGCTACCAGCCCCTTAGCTGCTCCATTGCCCGGAGCTACTTTCACTTTCGCACGGCAGAACTATGGGGAGGAGAAGACAAGCTGCCTCCCGCTCCAGGAATGATAGCTTTTCCCATATCAGAGCTTGTGCAGGGATCGGCGGAACTGCGTAACAAGCTGAGTTGTTTGCAGGGGCTCTAGCTGGTGCTGTGGTTGGTGGAAAGCGCTCCGTCTGCTAAAATCAGTGACAGGCGCTGGAGGAGTCTGCAACCCTGTCTCATTTTCCTAAGCCTAAAAGAAAGTGTTCCCCTCCAGAACCCATATTTTATAGAACTATAGTAGGAG